TACCCAGTGATTATGACCAAAAGGGTTTTTATGAAATTAGTTATATGCTCATGGGCCTTAGGTTTCATAGTGGCCACTGTGCAAACCTCATGGGTGTTTAGTTTTCCTTTTTGTGGACCCAATAGAATTAATCATCTTTCTTGTGAAACCCCTCCAGTGCTAGAGCTTGCATGTGCGGACACCTTCTTATTTGAAATCTATGCATTCACAGGCACTCTTTTAGTTGTTACGGTCCCTTTCTTGCTAATACTCTTATCCTACATTCGAATTCTCTTTGCCATCCTGAAGATGCCATCAACCACTGGGAGGCAAAAGGCCTTTTCCACTTGTGCCTCTCATCTCACATCTGTGACCCTCTTTTATGGCACAGCCAATATGACTTATTTACAACCCAAATCCAGCTATTCTCCAGAAACTAAGAAATTGATGTCATTGTCTTACTCACTGCTTACCCCTCTGCTGAATCCACTGATCTACAGCTTGCAAAACAGTGAGATGAAAAGAGCCTTGATGAAATTATGGCAAAGGAAAATGGTTTCAAACACAGTCTGGTGATATTGAGAAATCATGTGCTATTTGGTCACAGCCCAACTGCCCTCTATTTAAATTTAATAAATAGTGAAATTAGATTGCCTTCTTGGTGTGAGTATGTTTAACATATTAACTTCCTCAAATTTGATAATATAAAAGGTATATCCCTCCTTTTCAATAATAAAATGTGGTCATTAATTTTTCATATGTTGTTTCAAGTGTTAGTTGTCATGGTGTAGGCTCTGACTCAAGGCGATCTTGTGTGTAACCATAGACAACCTTGCCTGGTTCTGTGCCATTTTTGTGACTAGCTGGTATTTTTGAGTCGACTGCATAGCTGTGTGTGTGTGAAGTGCCTTTTAACCTAGGGGCCTTTCTTTCCAGTATGTCTTAGCCTGGAAGCCCCACTGAGATCTGTCTGCCATGATGACACCACTGGTATTTGAAATGGTGGTGGTATAGCTTCCAGCATCATAGCACCACACAAGCCACTACAGTACAATAGACTAACAGATGGGTACTGGTAATTTGTGATACAATAGTCTATTCATGCATTCATTTTTTATGGAATACAGATTGTTACTAGAGTGTTGTCATTATGACAATTCTTCAATAAACACTTAGTCTCATATGTTCATAAGTCCTGCTGTCTTTTAATTCTGTATGATAGATTTCTCAAAGTAGGACAAGTGGGCTAATGAGTACATGTGCTTATAAATTTTACTGGCTATTGCAAAATTCTTTTTAAAAATGAATGTTAACTACTTCTGACTTTCCTGATGATCCACTCAGTTTTGCCATCTGGATTGAACTTCAAGAGACCTAAAAACAGAGATAAGAGATCTCTGGCATGAAAATTTGTTTCATAAATGAATAAAAATGTGCAGCTATTTTTTGGGGGGATGATCAGACTGGTTCTTGTTCATGAATTCACACAGATAATAATCCAAAACTATTTCTCTGTGTATGTTCCAAATATCCACCCAATATTAGTGATCAGAGAACAAATAAGAACTTTCCTGAAATCTCACTTGATAGTAATGCTATCTTTCCCACTTATAGACCATTGTTTTTGGAGACTTTTGTCTAATTTTCCTTTGTAGGCCAAAAATGTCCCCAAATATGTCATAAACAATTAATTATTTTCTCCCTCCCTCCCTCCTTTCCTCTCTTCCTTTCTTTTCTCTCTCTTTTTGTGAGAAATAAATGGTACTTTGAACTTGGACGTCTAGCTTCCACAACTGTAAGAGACTAAATCCCTATTTGTTAAAGCCACCCATTCATGGTATTTGCCAGATCTAGGGGCTGGGGGAAAGCCCCTCGACCTTGGGCTTCAGCTCTTCCTCTTGCTCCTGGCCCACTGAAGGTGGAGGCTTCTCTTTACTCAGGCAGCTGCTGGCTGCTGAGGCTGACAAACCCAAGGTCAACAAATAAAATGGCACAGTCTCAATATTACCAAACAATACAGCAGGCCACTAGTTCAAGTTTAGAGACAGTTCCAAGATTGCCAAGAAACATGGCAGGCTGCTGAATGAAGACTCGGTTACATGCAGGGTCCAAGTGTATCAAAAAGCTCAAGACCTTTCTCAAAGCTTCTTCTTAAATACTGGAAGCAGACCACATCCCTAAGGCAGTTACTCGGCTACTCACAGTAGATTCTACCATGGAGTTGATTACAAGTCCCATAATGGGGAATAACTACATCCAATTGCCCAGCCAGTCAAAACCAGGCCCAGCCAAGTTGACACACACTTAACTATCACAGTGATCCTCAGGAGTGGGTTCAGTTCTAGGTCTGAAGTGTCTCTAAGGGCCACAATGTTGGAGGATGCATCAATTTCTCTCAGACCAGTAAGTCTGGTCTTTTTTATTATTTTGAATTTTTTTCCACATTTTTCTCCTATTCTATCCAGGATCTTCTATTGTGATCCCCATCAGAGCAGTAGGTAGTGGTAGCCAGGCACCAAGTAGCTCTAGTGCTAGCAGAGGCTGTGGTTCACATGGTTCATTAGTTCTTTTGATTAATTGTTTCCTTGAGTCTTTGGTTTTCTTTACTCTTCTTTGCTCTGGATGGAGAGACACCAAATAATTGCATCTTTGATGGCTGCTCTCAAATTTTAAGGCTAAATTTGCTACTAATCATATTAGGATGCAGGACATTCTTGTTGTGGACTATGTTATGCCAATTGACCTAGATGTTGCCTAGGACTATGGTTCTAAATCCCCAGGCCCAGTGACTCAGTCTTTCAAGATATTTGGTTATGGCTAGGAAGTTTTCATAATTTTGTCCTCTTACGGATAACATTGCGAAGAATGGCAATTTCAGAACACTTAGTTGTACTCATGAGAAACCTGTACATATTCCAGGAGGCAGTCATTTGAACAGACCAAGGGGATACTACATGGTTTAAAATCAAGAAAGGTATGTGTCAGGGTTATATCTTTTCACTATACTTATTCAATCTGTATGTTGAGCAGATA